GCAAAAAATACAGTAAATAGTCTTTCAAAGTCTTATAATACTTGGAGGTTAACCCATCCGGCCCTGGAGACTTGCCCAGTTGCATGTTGTGAATGGCACCTTCAATCTCCTGTTCCGTTATCTTATGGTTAATAATAATAATAATAATAATTTATTATTTATACCCCGCCCATCTGGCTGGGCCTCCCCAGCCACTCTGGGCGGCTTCCATAAAAACCAAAAATACAATAAAATATCACATGTTAAAAACTTCCCTGAACAGGGCTGCCTTAAGATGTCTCTTGAATGTCAGGTAGTTATTTATCACTTTGACATCTGCTGGAAGGGCGTTCCGCAGGGCGGGCGCCACTACCGAGAAGGCCCTCTGCCTGGTTCCCTGTAGCTTTGCTTCTCGCAATGAGGGAACCGCCAGAAGGCCCTCGGCGCTGGACCTCAGCGTCCGGGCAGAATGATGGGGGTGGAGACGCTCCTTCAGGTATACAGGACCAAGGCCGTTTAGGGCTTTAAAGGTCAGCACCAACACTTTGAATTGTGCTCGGAAACGTACTGGGAGCCAATGCAAGTCTTTCAAGACCGGTGTTATATGGTCTCGGTGGCCGCTCCCAGTCACCAGTCTAGCTGCCGCATTCTGGATTAGTTGTAGTTTCCGAGTCACCTTCAAAGGTAGCCCCACGTAGAGTGCATTGCAGTAGTCCAAGCGGGAGATAACCAGAGCATGTACCACTCTGGCGAGACAGTCGGCAGGCAGATAGGGTCTCAGCCTACGTACCAGATGGAGCTGGTAAACAGCTGCCCTGGACACGGATTTGACCTGTGCCTCCATGGACAGCTGTGAGTCCAAAATGACTCCCAGGCTGCGCACCTGGTCCTTCAGGGGCACAGTTACCCCATTCAGGACCAGGGAATCCTCCACACCTGCCCGCCTCCTGTCCCCCAAAAACAGTACTTCTGTCTTGTCAGGATTCAACCTCAATCTGTTAGCCGCCATCCATCCTCCAACCGCCTCCAGACACTCACACAGGACCTTCACCGCCTTCACTGGTTCTGATTTAAAAGAGAGGTAGAGCTGGGTATCATCCGCATACTGATGAACACCCAGCCCAAACCTCCTGATGATCTCTCCCAGCGGCTGCATGTAAATGTTGAAGGTCTTCTCCGTAGTCAAAACAAAAAAAAGTGTGGAAAGTGTGGAGTGTGGAAAGAGCTTCAGTCAGAGTGGAAGCCTTAGAAATCATCAACGGACTCACACAGGGGAGAAACCATTTGAATGCATGGAGTGTGAAAAGAGCTTCAGTGAGAGTGGAAGCCTTAGAAATCATCAACGGACTCACACAGGGGAGAAACCATTTGAATGCATGGAGTGTGAAAAGAGCTTCAGTGAGAGTGGAGACCTTAGAAGACATCAACGGACTCACACAGGGAAGAAACCATTTGAATGCATGGAGTGTGGAAAGAGCTTTAGTGAAAATGGAAGCCTTAGGAACCATCAACGGACTCACACAGGGGAGAAACCATATAAATGTATAGAGTGCGGAAAGAGCTTCAGTGATAGTGGATGTCTTAGAAGACATAAACGGACTCACACAGGGTGGAAACCATTTGAATGTATGGAGTGTGGAAAGAGCTTCAGTGATAGTGGATGTCTTAGAAGACATCAACGGACTCACACAGGGGAGAAACCATTTGAATGCATGGAGTGTGAAAAGAGCTTCAGTGAGAGTGGAGACCTTAGAAGACATCAACGGACTCACACAGGGGAGAAACCATTTGAATGCATGGAGTGTGGAAAGAGCTTTAGTAACAGAGGATGCCTTAGAACACATCAGCGGACTCACACAGGGGAGAAACCAGATACCGTATTTTTCGCCCCATAGGACGCACCTAGGTTTTTTTTTGGGGGGGGGGGAAATAAAGAAAAAAAATTTTTTTTCCTGGCTGGCTTCCCCCGACCCCAGCCCCCAGAACAGGCTGCTGCCTGCAAGCCTTGCGAACCCGGTGCGCAAGGCTTGCGGACATCTGCCCGAAGCACGGGGCGGGCTCTGCAGCGTGCCCCATGATTCGGGCTGTAGGCTGCCGCCCGCAAGTCTTGCCCCCTTGTGGAACCCTTGATTTATGTCAACAGACTCACACAAAAGACAAACCATATAACCGTATTTTTCACTCTATAAGACTTAACAGACCACAAGACGTACCTAGTTTTTGGAGGACGAAAACAAGAAAAAAAATATTCTGCATCCCAGAAGCAAGAGGGTTTCCTGCGCAGCAAAAGTAGCAATCCCTCTTGCTGTTCTGGCTTCTGGGATAGCTGCACAGCCTGCATTCGCTCCATAAGACACACACACCTTTCCCCTTACTTTTTAGGAGGGAAAAAGTGAGTCTTATAGAGCAAAAAATACGGTAAAATCAGGAAAGTACTCTTAGTGGAAGTTCAAATTCAACAGACTTATGGACAGGAAGAACTTTAAGAGTTGAAACCCTTCAGACCATCAACAAACTCAGAAGAGAAGCAGTTTAAATGAAAAGACTGCAAAAAGTGCTTTCTTTATAATGGAGTATTTAAGGAACAGGGACACGGGTGGCACTGTGGGTTAAACCACAGAGCCTAGGACTTGCCGATCAGAAGGTCGGTGGTTCAAATCCCCACAACGTGGTGAGCTCCCGTTGCTTGGTCACTGTTCCTGCCGACCTAGCAGTTTGAAATCATGTCAAATTGCAAGTAGATAAATAGGTACCGCTCTGATGGGAAGGTAAACGGCGCTTCTATGCGCTGCTCTGGTTCACCAGAAGCGGCTTAGTCCTGCTGGCCACATGACCCAGAAGCTGTAGCCCGGCTCCCTCGGCCAATAAAGTGAGATGAGCACCGCAACCCCAGAGTCGTCTTTGACTGGACCTAATGGTCAGGGGTCCCTTTACCTTTACCTTTATTTAAGGAACATCTAGGGACTCTCACATGGGAGAACCCATTTAGATGTATGGAGTGTGGGACGTCTTCCTCTCAGAGTCCACTCTGAGCAATGAACTCAGCAGGAAATCATTCCTACAAGCATGAGGTATATGTGAAGTTCTGGTGTTTATATATAAAAAATTCCTTCCAGTAGCACCTTAAAGACCAACTAGGTTAGTTCTTGGTATGAGCTTTCGTGTGCATGCACACTTCTTCAGATACACTTCTTCTTCAGAACTTTTTCTGAAGAACCAGAACTTTTTCGCTGCCTCCTGCCCTGCGCGTTCTGAAGAAAACTTGAAATACTGAAATTGAATGGGGGATTTCCCCCCCAGCCTAATTTCAAGAGGGGGAAGGAGGGGCTGCAGGTATCAGAGAAGTCTCCTGGGGGCCCCATCTTCGCTCATGAAACCCATGGGGCAACCCCAGAGCTCCTGCTCATTCTGGGGTTTGAGGAAGATAGTATTTTTCCATAGTCCCAGAATTTTTGATTCAATCATGCTTCTCAGGAGTTTTCCCACCAGAGGACCACAGTGCTGTAGTGTGTTCCCACCATTTCAGAACACCATTTCAGATAAAACCACAGCGGACTTTGCCACCAAACTCTGCCAATTTGTCCTTACCCACAACAACTTCAAATTTGGTGATGACCTGTTCCTTCAGATCAGCGGCACAGCAATGGGCACCCGCATGGCCCCACAGTATTCCAACATCTTCATGGCAGATTTAGAACAATGTTTCCTAAACTCCTACCCACTCAAACCTCTCTTGTACCTGCGATACATTGATGATATTTTTATCATCTGGACACATGGCCAACAGACCCTGGACACCTTCCACCAGAAATTCAATGATTTCACCCCACAATCAACCTAACAATGAATCAATCTATGCAAGAAATACATTTTTTGGGCACTACTATAAAAATACAGGATGGGCGCATAGACACCACCTTATACCGTAAACCAACTGACCGACAAACATATCTACATGCCTCTAGCTACCATCCCAAACATACCAAACAGTCCATTGTATATAGCCAGGCACTACGTTACAGCCGTATCTGTTCCAATTCTACAGACAGAGACTCTCACCTAAGAGATCTACAGCAAACCTTTTTAGAACTAAAATACCCAGCAGATGAAGTTAGACAACAGAGCCAGACTGATACCCAGAGAGAACTTGCTGCAAGACAGACCCAAAAAAGAAAATAACAGAACACCTCTAGTCATCACATACAGCTCCCAAGTTAAAACAGTACAACGCATCACAATGACAGTTCTCTTTCTCAAGCTCTGGGAGGAAGACCTTTCATTGCCTACAGACAGCCACCCAATCTTAAACAACTCCTAACCCACAATAATACTACAACCAGACTTAACACGGACACTGGCACCAGAGCCTGCAATAAACCCAGATGCCAACTTTGCTGCCACATACACCCGGACAACACCATTACTGGCCCCAACAACATCACACATACCGTCTCAGGACTATTTAATTGCTCATCGTCTAACATTGTATATGCCATCAAATGCCAACAGTGTCCTTCAGCTCTCTATATTGGACAAACAGGCCAAACCTTACGCCAAAGAATAAACGGACATAAATCTAACATCAAGAATCACAAGACAGAGAAACCAGTAGGAGAACACTTCAATCTCCCAGGACATTCTATACAAGATCTCAAAGTAGCTGTTTTACTACAAAGGAATTTCAGAAATAGACTGGAAAGAGAAGCTGCTGAATTGCAACTCATTACCAAACTTAAAACCATGGAGAGACCTGGTCTGAACAAAGACATTGGATTCTTATCTCACTATACATGACAAAGCCATTTTTCACCTTCTCACCCCTTGCTTTTTCCTGTAAGACCTATTGCAGTCGTTTAGAGTCGTCAACAGGCTCATCACAGCTATCTGCCAATCACCCATTCCCACCACCCTTCTGGGTAATACCCCTCCCCACCTTCTCACTATATAGAAGGATCTGGCAACTTCTGTTTCAGTGTATCTGAAGAAGTGTGTGACTCCCCTGTGTGAGTCCGTTGATGTCTTCTAAGGTCTCCACTATGACTGAATTCCTTTCCACACTCCATGCATTTAAATGGTTTCTCCCCTGTGTGAGTCCGTTGATGATTTCTAAGGTTTTCACTCCGATTGAAGCTCTTTCCACACTCCATGCATTTAAATGGTTTCTCCCCTGTGTGAGTCCGTTGATGATTTCTAAGGCTTCCACTCTGACTGAAGCTCTTTCCACACTCGATACATTTAAATGGTTTCTCCCCTGTGTGAGTCCGTTGATGTTTTCTAAGGTTTCCACTCCGACTGAAGCTCTTTCCACACACGATACATTTATATGGTTTCTCGCCTGTGTGAGTCCGTTGATGTCTTCTAAGGTCCCCACTCTGACTGAATTCCTTTCCACACTCCATGCATTTAAATGGTTTCTCCCCTGTGTGAGTCCGTTGCTGTTTTCTAAGGTTTCCACTCCGACTGAAGCTCTTTCCACACACGATACATTTATATGGTTTCTCGCCTGTGTGAGTCCGTTGATGTGATCTAAGGTGTGCACTCTTACTGAAATCCTTTCAACACTCCATGCACTCAAATGGTTTCTCCCCTGTGTGAGTCCATTGATGTGATCTAAGTTGTGCACTCTGACTGAAGCTCTTTCCACACTCCATGCATTTAAACGGTTTCTCCCCTGTGTGAGTCCGTTGATATCTTCTAAGGCTTCCACTATTATTAATGTTCTTTCCACACACCATACATTCATATGGTTTTCCCCCTGTGTGAGTCCCTTTGTGCAATTTAAGGTTTCCACTCTGACTGAAATTCTTCCCACACTCCCTGCACTTAAAATGTTTTGTCTCTGTGTGAGTCCGCTGGTGTGTTCTAAGTTTTGAGTTGAAAGAGAAGCTCTTTCCACACCACGTACCTTTAAATGGCTTCTTTCCTTTTTGTGTTCGTTGATGTGAACTATGTGTGCTCATTCAGTGAAGCATATTCCACATTTCACACATTTTAATTGCTATTCCTAATGAAACGATAGGTGCCCTCTCCCCTGCAATTCTTTCTTCTCCATCACCTTTTCAGAGTGGGCAAAAAGCAAATCCTGTTTGGGTTTCAAGGAAGAGAACAAAGGGAAAGAGAACACATCAACCGCCATTAGCACCTTCTCTTATTTCAACATCTCTTACATTCTCCCATGTCCTACCTATGTTCCCAATTTTTAGGAAATGAAAATGGTATGATGTCAAATGGCAGTAATGCATCAGGAACCTTTCAAGATCCTCAATTATCTTTAATAACACAGCATGATCTTGGAATACTGTTGTCATGTGGGACTGCCTTTCAAATCAAGTGGTTGCCCCCATTTCCACCTTTAGTTCTTCATGAATCACCTGCACATTCCCACTGACCTCAGGAGGTCCATATGGATTATTTTGGGAGACCCAGGCCTACATCTCTTCCAGGGACTGTGGTCTGGGTCAGTCAGAGAACTAGTGACAAGGCTTGGTGCTTGGGGTCAGCTGAATGGGTGCTCAGGGAAGCTCCTGTTCTTGGAGATGGACCTCCGTCTAAATGCCTCACATTGCATGGAGAGAGCAGAAGAAGCAGAAGGAAAGCAGATGGCACATGGGAATCCCAGACGGAAACACCCACCCCAAAGGTTCTTTATAATGATGATGTGCTGCCTGATCCTGTGCTTGTCTTCTGACAGAGGACTATCCTAATCTGAAAGGCAGGATATTCAAGGCAAGGAGATAACTGTTCTTCATGGTAGGTAGACATATTGGTCTGACACAGTTGAAGTAAAAAAGTAAAAAAATAGTCCAGTTGCACCTTAGGTTCTAGATATAAGCTTTTGTGTGCATTCACAGTTCTTCATATAGTGGGAGATGGTAGTTGGAGTACCCTTCTGAGAAAAACCCCACCCCACCCTCCCACGATATACAAGGGTCTGGTGACATCTGTGTCAGTGTATCTGAAGAATTGTGCATGCACACCAAAGCTTATACCTAGAACAATCTTAGTTGGTCTCTAAGGTGCTACTGGACTATTTTTTAATTTTTTATTTCAACTGTGTCAGACCAACACGGCTACCTACCTGAATCTAGATCTCATGGGGTGTTGGGGATAAGTAGTTCCTTTGGTGGGGAACATGTCCTGCACCTCCTGGGGTCATTTTTCCACCCTTGGTCCCCACCCTGCACTCAGCTCTCACCTGTGGCTTCCAGAAGCTGTCAGCATGCAACAGGGGTTCAAGCAACGGCTTCTACCAGCCGGCTAAACCAGGTGAGGAAAGCTGATGGGTCTCAAATCGTTGATGGGCTGGGTGGGGAATTCTGCTGCACCTGAAGTCAAGCCCTGGTGGATGGAGAGGAGGAGAACAACCGTGAATCCCACAGTCCATAAGGCAGATTCTGCCCGTGCGGAAGAGGAACGTGAAGGGCAGATGGGGCACGTCGACCTGGAGGCTTGTTATCTAGTCCCAGGGTTACCCTGACATTGAATTATATATGAATTGCAGTATTGAAATGTGCCTGCTCCCACTTCCTATTCTGATATTACTCTACTCTGCTTGTCTGTTTCTTACTTGAGTGCTGTTTTGGTTTGCTAAGTCAGGGTTTTACTGTGAGTTACATTTTTGCTATTTTTTGGGTCCTGTCATGCTTATCTGTCTTCAGTAATAAATTTCTCAGCTGATTTCCCCCCCCCCTGCCTCTGAGTGTTTTCTCCTACTCTGCTACCTATACATCGATCATTATGGAGGAGCAAGATCTGCAACCTCAAGCCCTCCTCAGCCTCGGCCCTGTGGACCTGACGGAGCATCTTTACCCCAGTCGTTCAGTCCGGACAGGGAGGTCCGCCTCCGAGAGTCTTCTGCTGGTTCCCTTGCAGTTAGAAGTGAAGTTCCAGGGAACCAGGCAGAGGGCTTCCTGCCCCATGGAATGCCCTCCCTTCAGAGGGCAAGGAAGGAGGCAACTATCTGACATTTAGAAGACAGCTGTATCAGGAGGTTTTTAATTTTTGGATGTTTTACTGTCTTGTATATGTACTGTAGGGACGCGGGTAGCGTTGTGGGTTAAACCCCAGAACTTAGGACTTGCTGATCAGAAGGTCGGCGGTTCAAATCCCTGCGACAGGGTGAGCTTCCCGTTGCTTGGTCCCTGCTCCTGCCAACCTAGCAGTTCGAAAGCACATCAAAGAGCAAGTAGATAAATAGGTACCGCTCTGGCGGGAAGGTAAACGGCGTTTCCGTGCTCTGCTCTGATTCGCCAGAAGCGCTTAGTTCTGCTGGCCACACGACCCGGAAGCTGTACGCCGGCTCCCTCGGCCAATAAAGCGAGATGAGCGCCGCAACCCCAGAGTTTCCCGCAACTGGACCTTCCGGTCAGGGGTCCCTTTACCTTTACCTATATGTACTGTAAGCTGCCCAGAGTGGCTTGGGGAAGATACTAATAGTATAACATCTAGAGTGGTGCCTCGGGTTACAGGCGCTTCAGGTTACAGACTCTGCTAACCCAGAAATAGTACCTTGGGTTAAGAACTTTGCTTCAGGATGAGAACCGAAATCCTGCTCTGGTGTGTAGGGATATTGCAGAGTGGACAGTGGGGTCCGGAGGGAGACACTTTCCACCAGCAGGCAGCCACAATCTGCCTGCACGCGTGACCTTGGGGTGCAGGGCAACCCCCCCCCCCCGACAAGCCACAGCTGTCTGTATATCGTTCCACCTCTGCCTGACCTTTTGCGATCTCAGCAGTTTGCGGTGTCCTGTCTGTAACCCTTTTCCATGAGACGTTTGTCTCCATTCATCATACATTGAGCAAGGGGGAAATGACGCTGTGGAACAGGTGCCAAAATAGCTTTGTACCACCCCACGATTTTGGGACGGAAGATGTAAAGGTCACAGCCCAAAAATGTATTTGCCTGGCTTGCATACTTGTGTCAATAAAAGGAGGCTCCACAGGAATGGCAGTAGCTCGCTTCAGCCCACCTGTGCCCAGCTCACATGATGATCAACACCTGTCTTGGGCAGCAGGAGGCCCCATTAGCTAAAGTGGTGCTTCAGGTTAAGAACAGTTTCAGATTAAGAACAGAGCTGCAGAACGAATTCAGTTCTTAACGCGAGGTACCAGTGTACTATTATTATCATCTTGTGATTTTTTGTAGTTATTTTGGAATTTTTACTGCAATATTAGCTTACGAAACGTTATGGGTGGAGAAAATCACAGGGTTGCCGTAAACTATAATCCCACCCACAAACTCTCATTCACACACCGTCTGTAAATTTGGGAATGACACACACCTCACCTGTACTAATACTGGCAGTCTTTGGCCTGCACAGGCACACCCGGTGTGTAGAGCCTCCAGCCACAGGCACTGTCTATCATGAAAATGGGTCCTTTGACTGGGAAGATTCATGCAGTCGCTGTCATCGGATGATGATGGGTTGTATCTCAGCTTGTCAGTCACTCTGACATTGCCTAGAAAGAACAAGAGGAACAGAAATGCTTTTGAGGTGCAACTTCTCTATCAATCCTGAGAGCCATTCCATGGACTCTGCACCCCTGTTTCTGAGGACAGGTGTACATTATCCTCATCCTCAGCGGAAAAGACAATAAAGATGGAAGCCTGAGAGAGAGGAAAAGGTTTCTGGCTGCTTCCTGGGTGGGATTGGGGAAACCAAGAGCCACTTCTGAGAAGGCCTCCCCCCTCCCCTCTTGTTCTCGGGATTTCCTCTCCTCTCCAGGGGACCAATGGTTGGACTGGGCAGAATCGCTGTGTCTGGACAGGGCAGGGACTTATGGGGTGGGAAGAGGATGGAGATTGCAGGAAAATAGGGGTGGGGGGACAGGCACCCCACTTTCCAGGGATCCCTCTCTGGTCGCCTTGAAGGGGGGGCATTCCTGGGCAGGAGGGAGAAGCCAAGGCGGCCCCTCCGGAGAGACCCCAAGGAAGGCACGATGGAGACCCCCCCCAAGAGTGGTCTTCCTATCTCCCCCCCTGCCAATGCTGCCTTCCCTCCTCCCCCCACTTCCTCGACCCCCTCCCTCTCTCCCGGAGTCTCCCCTGCATCCGGAGGCTTCCTTGGCACCACTCCCCCCACGTCCTGTGCCCCCATCTCTCCAGCTGGAGGGGCCCCCCAAGACGAGCCGGGGAGGGACAGGGGGGTCTCTATCCCTCGTGCCCGTTAACCCTTTCGTGGCCCACCTCTCTCTGCGCGGAGCCCCTAGCGCTCCGGTTATTCCCAGCGGGCGCCACGATGGAGACTTCTCCCCAAAGACTGGTCTTCCTATTCCCCCCCCCCGCTGCCCTTCTCTGACCCAGGGATGCTCCCCTCCCTCCCCCCATTCCTCGACCCCCTCCCTCTCTCCCGGAGTCTCCCCTGCACCCAAAGGCCCCCTTGGCTCGGGTCACCCCTCGCCCTGCGCGCCACACCTCTCCATTCGCAGCCCCCCGACAGGAGCAAGGGAGGGACGGGGGGTCTCTATCCCGGCGCCTCCCGCACCCCTTAACCCTTTCCTGACCCGCTTCTCCGCGCCCCAGGGAGTCCTCGTGGGTGGGCGCCCCATCTCCGCCCCTTCGCAGCACGCGTGCCGGGATCCAGGCCCCACGGAAGGCGCTTGGGGAGCTGGAGGGGTCTCTGGGTCCTTTTCTCTCTCCGCCCCCCCCCCCCCGCGACCCCTTTACCTCTTTGTCCTCGCTCCGATTCTCATTTCTTTTGTTACGGAAAAATCTGGGTGCGGGGTTACTCTGCCACCCCAGCTCATCGGACTAAATCCGTGGGTCCCTGCGGAAGAAAATGAGCTCAGCCGGACGCAGGAGCAAAACTGCAGAAGATCCAAGTTTATTGCGCAACAGGTTCAAGGCGAAATTGAACAGCCAGAAAGGGGTGACATGAACTTTTGAAACTCCCTCCATGTCCCAGAATACAGTGCAAAATACATCCCAGTTACATCATGAATACATTAAGGAGAGGTTGGGTTACACAGATTAACATATGGAGGAGGGAGGGGGAATATGCAGAGCTGGAGATATGCGCAGATAAGCACATCCTGAGAAGGCAATGGTCCATGTTTGCATAGTCTGTCACCTGGCATCGCCTGGAGGAAGGGTTTGGCAGAGTGATTTTGACTGGATTACTTGAGAGATTATGGAGGACAGGGGAGGGGTGATGGAGTCCTAGAGAAATTGAGCAAATATATTGTAGTGAAGAAGACATGCCCCCCCCTTCCGTAACAGTCCCCCATTCGGAGATAGATTTGCATTAAAGTTCTGTAAGAACTTGCAAATCTTTTCTCCGCACCCTAAATCTCGGTGAATGGGATGTGTGGCTTTATGCAAACCTGAAAGGGACTTGCAAGCCAATGCCTCTTACGGTCATTTGCAAGTATAGCAGTGCAGGTAGCTGCATATAGGGTATTATATAAAAGAACATCTGTTGTATTTTGTTACTAAATTACTTGTGGCACCCTAGCTCTTGGGAGAAAACATTTTCAATAGTGGTGTATGCTTTACAGTTTAGCAGGAAGGTCCACTACTGACTGAAAAGTGCAGTTTGCTCCCCCCCCCCCGCCATTTGTTGTGTTCTCAAGGTGTCAAGGTAGCTCTTCTGTGGTCTCACATCGGCATGGTGTCGCAGTAGTGGCAATCCCTGGTGAATCCACTTAGGGCTTTCATATTTATCATGTAGCCTGGCCACCCACCACAGCTGGCACAGGTTTCGGACACGGTCCTGAGAGAAATGTCTTTGCCTTGGCCAAAATCGCATGGGATTTCTTATTATTATTACAGGCTCTGGTCTTGTAGTCCTGGGAAGTTGATCACTTGCACTTTAAAGGACCAAAAAGCTAATTGCAGCCTGGATACACTTGCCCAATTCAAACTGAGTCCAATTTGAATTTATGTGCCCATGGTTCTCAACCTTTCAAACCAGTCTGTTAAAGGAAAACCGTTCTTAAAAGGGCACTTTGTCCAAATAAGTCAATTTAACTCTATAAGGGATCATTCCTGCTAAACCAAAGCATGTGCACCCTTCATGTATCTTATAAAGCTTCTCCTTGGTAAAGCAAGTTTTAGCACATTTTAAAATGGATAGGGAAAGTTGGCAGAGTGCCAGGTGGGACAATGAAATGTGGTTATCTAAACATTGGACTACACAATAGTGTGAGCTATCAGAAAGTATAAAATGCCATGAGAATTGGTGTGCAAGCAATAAGACATTAAACATAAAAATTACACACAAAAATACCCCCCCTTGTGGAAATAACACACTGTCAGACACATTTCAACATTCCTACATAATAACACTTAATACAAAACAAACTAATTAAATATCAGTTGCACAATTGTGATCTTTTACGCATGTATCTTTTGAATCCTGGAGCACAGAGGCTTTGAGGTTCAAGTGAAAAGATGTCCTTGCAAGTCAACTCCACCCCCTTTGTCAGGCCCACTCCCCTGGCAGTCTATATTCCTTTGAAAGAGATAGCTGTGGGCACTTGGAAACTCTGGTGTCTTGTGATGACGGAAGAACTGAGTGAGGGTTGTTTGCTGCTTTTCATCATTGCACCATCTGTAGACGCGATATCCTGTAAGGGGGCAGGGTTTTGGGGACTTAAAAACACAGACAAGGAAGGGGCAAAAGGCAAAAGGATGTCCTCCAGTTTCCATGGGAAGCTGCAAATAATAACAATCTTAGCACATTAAGCATTTTATTCATTTCAATATTATTATCACATTTCCACATAATTACTGTTATTATCTGCTAAGTTTGTTTGCTTTCCTTCACTTAGTTTTTGTTGTTGTTGTTCTTTTCATATTATAAAATAAAAATTACTACACATGTATAGAAAGAGAACTGTAAAAATACAAAGGTTAAAAAATACAAAGAAAGCAAAAAATTAGATACCAGTCAGATGAAAACAAACTTGACACAAAGACATCAGATTTAGAAAAGAATTATTATTAAATATATTATCAAAACCACGGAGATTACTACTAGACTGAAAAAAAAATGGAAAACCATGGGGGAAAACTTTAAATTCACCATGTGCTATTTGATAAAAGAACTTCATGAAACTGACTTTCAACATGTGATGAACATGTCCCCAAGTAAAACACA